GCAGCCATGAGGTTAGCATCAGATATCCCGTCATCATCTGTGACGCGTTCACCGAGAGACGCCTCCTCTGGCGAGGGCTTGGCCTGTGGTTCTGCGGGAATCACCACTGGTCGTGGGCCGCTAGATGGATCATCCGCACCTTGAGGTGCTGCCTGGTCGGGGCTGGCTGAAGACGCTGCGGGCGTTTGGTGTGGCGTCTGGTGTGGCGTTGTGATGCACCCAACTTCGTCCTGGCAAATATTCGGGCCTGGCGTCAATGATACGACGTCCTTATTCTTGCCTGGTTGAAGTGGCGGGTAATTCTTGGAGGCCACTTCGAAACACGACGGCCTGATGGTGCAGGCGACGGTGGCATGCGGGTCACCACCACGGCGACACGGCAGCGAGCAGCCCTTTCCTTCGTGGCCGTAAACACCGCACCTTCGACAAAACGTAGCTGTGCAATTCATGCGGAAGTGCCCACTGTCTCCACATCGACGGCACACTCACTGGATCCCTTTATAGTCACAGGTTACTCGATGGCCTGCGACCTTGAGGTAGTTGGGCACCGGGCGACGATGTCTTCATTTCTATACGGACGAATCGCGTCCCAGTGGTCACGGTTAGGCGCGACCCCATGAGTCCTCTGCTGATGTGCAGCACCTTCCCGCAGGGAGACAATGCTTGCGCGAGGACCTCGCTGGGGACGCGGCATGACAAGAACAAAACGGTGAGTTGAGTGACTTGGGGTCCCAAGGGTACGACAGCAACGCGCTCTCCTTTGATGATGAGGTGGGACGCGTCGACGATTTGAGCCAGAGCGGCCTCACTGTTAACGGTGACTTGGTAATTCTGGCCTCCAAAGTGCTGTAGACAGTAGTCCTCTTCGATTCCTACTATTGAAGACGTCGCGTCTACGACGTCTTCGGGACTAGTCTCCTCGGGGACGACTACATCGAGGGCTAGCGCCTTCTTCGGGGGCTAGCTTGCCATTAGGACGTCGGCCAGCCCAGGGACGCCCTGAGACGCTAACGACGACAACGAGGGAAAACGGCCGATGCTCCTTATAACTGCACCCGTTCGTCCCTCGTAACCGTTGTAGCATGTAACAAGTATAAAATTTTGACCTCCAAGGTGGTACCGGTGAGAGATGTCTTCTGTGCGTTGTTTAACAATAAAAAATAGTGCTCAATGTACATGCAAATGGCTGCTAATGGGGAATGAGAGACAGCAGCATTCGGCTTTTAGTTAACGCGCACGCTGCGATCACCATTAGCAGCCATTGGCATGTACGTTGAGCACTATCTGACAAGAAAGGGTTGCTGTGTTATACTCGCTGGGTCTAACTTTCTTAGTTTTAGAAAGGTTTAGCGAGCGTTGAGCCGCAGTGCCATGAGTACAATGAACTAGTATATACCTTGAATGAACTCGAGGTGGTTAAAGGTGGGAAGCAGATACGAAGCGCAAGCCGTAAGAAAGCAAAAGCCGAATTTTCCTGTCTCTCATTTCCCATTAGCAGCCATTGACATGTACATTGAGCACTATTTGACAGGAAAAGGTTGCTACGTTATACTCGCTGGGTGGAACCTCCTCGGTTTTAGAAAGGTTTAGCGAGCGTTGGGCCGCAGTGCCATGAATACAGTGAACTAGTATATACCATGAACTCGAGGTGGTTAAAGGTGGGAAGTAGACCCGAAGCGCAATCCGTAAGAAAGAGTGCGTGTGCCACCTCTCGTTTAGTCCTTGGAATGTCCGTTGGATGGCGGTGCTTCTACATGGGGAATATATGATGAAAAGATGCGAGATGGTGGTACTTGGAGTGTTGAATAGATGGACGAACGGACACACAGACAGATGCATGGATGGGTGCATGAACGGACGCAGGAGCGGATGCAAGGACGAACGCAGGGACGGACGCACGAACAGACACACACACGGATGGGCGGATGGACGCATGGACGGCCACACAGACGGACACATGGACGGACGGAAGCAAGAACGAATGAACGGACGAATGCTTCACCCCGCTCTCCATCATTCACTCCGTGGATATGCTGCCAATTTTTTCCATTGCAATCTGTTAGCATATATCATACAACGTCATAGCTCCGACGAAAATACGTCAGCGGAGCCGTGGTGGACGCCGGCATAAAACACTTAGTGTTGAAAAAATAACTAACATAAGCATCATTCGTTAGGTTTTTGTTCGCTTTCTTCGCTGCACTATTTCTTTCGTCATGTTGCGAACCGAGCCCACGTTTCTCAAAACATGTGAAGTATTCTTCAGTCTTTCAAATAATCATTGTACGATTAGTTGCTTTGCAATGCCAAGAAGAGTTGCCCAAGCCAAAAAATACGTGAACAGAAAGCGCTGCCGATGTGCGAGAGATCGACGATGGCGAGGCACCCGAGGTCGGAGGACAATATACTTCTGCGACGATGATAATAGATCTCGAGGCCTTACAGGATTGCAAGGACATCATGGTTACTTTCCACGAGATCCTCAACCATTATAGAAAAACTCGACGAAGTTACCCACCACCCCACATGCAGCTAGAGAGGTCTCGGGCATCTGATCTGAGGCATCTGCAGACCAGCACACTTGACAATCCATGACACCTGCATAGACTGTGTTCCTCGCTCCACCCGTCACCCGGAGGTCCGTGGTGCGGGCACCAGACAGCCGGCATGACGCACATGCTTTGGCAGTGTGAGTGCGGTGTTCGCCACCACTACTCGGACGAGCGTGATTGTACCCCAGGATGACGAGCTGAGCGGTGGCGAGCTGCCCTTCTCAGCCCACGTGCAGTGGGCCAAATCTGGGCTGTCCAGCGAGCGAGGGCTATCGCCGAGGGCATCTCACGATGCTCCGCAGGTGAGGGCTCCTGAAGCAAACGATATCTCGTTGAATCTTTTATGAAGTTGATTATCTGCGCACTTCCCGTAAATAATTAAAGATACCGACGGAAATTTACGCAGCTGCTCAATATCGTGTATGTATGACACCAAGCGTATCATTTCACTTCCAGTGATTAAATACGGAGGAGCCCATTTGGACATTGAACACGAGCATGCAGGCCAACGTTTGTTGCAAAGTGGGCGTGAAGCATGCTTTCACCGACAGTTGTATATTTTCACACGGTTATCTTATGACCGCAAAGGAAGGTAAATGGCATTTTACAAGTAGTTTCAATTTACGCGCAAAAATACTCTTTTTGCTTCGCACAACATCCACCCTCCTGGAGGAGAAATTTGTCTCAGACAGAAAGGAGCACATGGATATGAGCAGTCCCGATATGGCTCAGAAGTGTACTTTAGGGCGTTCTTGTAACCGCGATACCAATACTAATTTTATTTCTCTAGCGGAGAGATTTATGCATGCAAGTAACAATCACGCCAATACCTCGCCGTAAAGCAAAAACGTAGCAGTGTCATGCGGTGTTGAAGCGTGAAACTACGACAAACTTTCTTCAGCGTAGAAAGAGCGTTAAACAACTTTCTAGATAATTCAGATGGTGCATACACGCTGAACGAGGACATTATTTACATGAGTGACAATCGTGACAGCGCGGTCATCGTCGTGACGTCATGATTCGACGGTTGCTGTCTAACATAAATGTCATTTCGAGTAGCAAACTGCTTAGTTGTCTACTAGTTCTTTATTAGTTGTTTCGTCAGGAACGCACTACGTGTCACATTTACGTTTTTTAGGGCAGAAAGAAAGCATTCGACCTCCGGGTTGGGAATTCATGGCTCACCTCGGGGATTATAGAGAAATGCTAGCGCAAATTCAACAAGCGAGTGCCTGAAGGACAAGTTATTTACGAACCGCAGTGCCAGCGCTAATTGGACGAAGGTCTTGTGGTTGTAGGAAAAACTGAACGGACTGTTACCCCCGAAAATGCTCCTTCATAGACCATTCTTCACTGGTGCGTACTCCGTTTGCCGTTCCCATGTACATTGTAAATAACTAGACATATGCCCCTGCAAAACTGCCTAATTCTCCTGAGGCTTTCTCTATGCCTCTTTGAAGTGAGAAGAGAATTTGAAGGTCATGACACAAGAACTAACATACAACGATGCTGAAGAAAGTGCAGGCGGTCTTACTGGTTGAAATTGTAATGAAAATGCGAAGAAAGTAGAGTGGACGATTTCATTCCTCTTTGGCATCGCTGCATGTTAGTTCTCATCAGCGTTGTGTCTATCAATGTCTCTCTGCTTATGCAAGTAGGCCTTGTGTTTTGTTTTCGAGATATCCACACTGTGACGCGATGTGTACAACAGTAAATGAAGATGATCGACACCAGTTGGCTTCATAATTGAGTCATGGAATTGAAGTAGTATAAGGCCATTCTACTGTGCGAGATGCCAGTGTTGGTTGAAAAACACCAGAAGGCCAACGTTTCCGGAGCCTTCCTCCACGGTGTTCATCGTAATCATATCCTAGTTTTGCGACGTTTTACGTCACAAAACGATTATTATCGCTTGCAATAAATGGAAAGTAATTGGGTCCCTTGAGAAAATTATGGAGGGCTCCCTTGGTCTTGGAGTATTCGCGGCGGAGAACTTGGAGCAGTGGGGGAATGCGTTACTTTGCTGCTCATGCTGGACGTACATATAGGTGTTGCTGTAATACGTTTACTTCGTGAAGTAGCTGGAAAAATCTTCAACGTATTGTTTATAACCCGCAGCTGAGACAATCAACACGCGCTGTGCGTCACGGTGGGTCTAAGCTATTAAAAGGCGAACATATTCGCCGTTAATGCAGATAGAAGTTGGCACCCGGTGTTGGTCAGTTCTTGTCTTTTCTTCGTACTCGTCTTTTTTGCGCCTTACCGGCATCATCTCATGCAGCCTCGGTTTGACCACAATGGAGGACGGCGCGTGGTGGAACCACGTGCGAGTGCGGCGACAAAAGACAACGTGGCTGAAGTATTGTTCGGCGAGCTGAGAGGAGCGATCCTTCATTTTTTTCAGGGCTGCCCACACAATGGTCGAGTTGGTTTGAAAGCAGGAAAGTAAAATGTCTTCGCAGTGCAGCGAGGAGTTACCAGCGCTGCGCTAGAGCACTATAATTTTATGATGCACACATGCGATAGTTACTGAGCAATATTCATTACCACTCAGATATTCTGAAAGTCCTTCCCTTGGTCCAGCGTGTCTTCGGGCTTTTACCTGAACTGTGATATGCCACGATGAAACAGTCAAGCCCATACGCCATTGTTATGCTCGTTTTATGGGCTCTGTTATTTGCCTTATGTTTAAGCCCCACTGAAAGCTTCAATTTATTCTCCTTCAGGAAGAAAAAGGCTTACAATATACGAAAGGCAAGTCCATACGTCTTCCTATATTCGCTTTTTTGTTTTTATGTTTAGGCATTACACTAAAAAAAGCTCGCACTAAATAATTTTGTTTTACATTGACATGCTTAGAAGTGTCACGCTAGAAATGTAGTTTTTGTGCGTCTAAAAGTATTATGTTGTGAAGACCAGTTGTCCAAACGACCAAATGACATACAAACACAGTCTTCAGCATAGGTGACCGAAGTAGTAGGAATTGTGTCCGCTATTTTGTGCTGTATTTTTTCAAACTATGTAACTTGATCCGAATTTCTCCACAGATGAGTATGGTACGTAGACAAGATAAATATATTTTTCTAAGAACAAATAAAACACAATTTGAACACAACATGCGTTATACACCCAGTATGAGATCGTTCATTTTTTCGCGGTCGTATAACATTAGAAATTTTGTTATCCCATTTCACCCCTTCTTTGGCATAACATGTAAGTCACAGCAGATGAACAAAATTCAAGGCGTATAGCTGCTGCTCTGTGTGACTGTCATGCTGATGCGGACGTAAAACACATTACCTTTGAGTAACCACGGTACTCTAAAACTTCAGGTAATGTCTCATTTCTCTTAAAAACATAACTCACTCTATGGAGAAAAATATATCTATACGTGAAGGGGCCTTTGAGAGGACCAGCTGCAAAAACCTGCCATTTCTGAGCCACTGCTCTTGAATTATTCAGCTATGACAACTTCAGTGGCAAAACTGTTCGGCCGTGAATACTCGCGGTGTGCTGCGAGCTTTAGTGGACTCAAAAAGGTGGCTCTCAGTATTTGGGTCTTTAGAGAGCCGGTACTCTATAGCTGTCATTTCGGTACCGCTTTTCCCAATAATCATGACAACTTGTACAGTACAGTTTCTATATCTGCAACTGCTCACAAAGTTCTTCAGCCTTGGTTACTTCTAACCTGCTGTGAGGCTCGTGGGGTCGCTGAAAGAATGACGTATATGCATTACAGATTCAACATAAGAATGTTCAATTTTGTGAGACTAGATGGTGCTGAAAATTACGTAACCATATTTCTTTCTTCATGCATTGGTGCAGCACATAAACTTCAGATGGTGAAAACAGTAGACTGCGAAGTGATTCGGCAGTGTGATGGTCATGGGGACGAACACGCGTGTCGTTTTCTGCCTGAGTCTCCGCGGAGTGATACAATGTCCACGCTGAAATTTCGTTTAATCTCGCCGGACTATCTTACATTCAATGTTAGAAAAATTACTTGATGGAGAGATCTTTTTTTAGTGAGATTAAGTGAAATTTAATGTGAACATTGTGTGGCTCCATGGGCACTCAAACAGAATATGTCACACGTCTTCGTCAGCATAGCAATCACAGCATTACGAAAGTACAAAAAAGAAAAAAAAAACTCTGCATCAAGTATTTTATTTTTACGAGGTTGAACAGTTGACGGCCAGGAATCGAACTACTGCAGTAAGCGCTTGGTCTACAAGATGAAAGCAATGATGTCATGTTTTCCTGCATCGCCATTTTCAGAGAAAAGTCTTTGATTCGGACGAGAGTCTGCCTATCATAAGCTAAACTGTGAAAGCTCGTTAGAACTTCGATAACATTTAATATTTGTGAAACCTTACACCTTGAACCTTGACGCTTTTTCCTCCCGAAATTGATGACTAATAACCAACGTATGCTAAAGAGCGGGTGCACAGCCAGCGCAAAAAAAAAAAAAAAGGAGGCAAGTGACAGAGGAGTCAGAGAGTCCTTACCGTGACGTCACAAGAGCCGTAAACTGCATTAACGGGTCGCTGGTGCATATGTCTCCAGCTCACACAATCTAAATAAAAAAAGCTCCTAAGATCTCCCTTGACATGTGCCACGAACTTCACTAAAATATTGGTCGCATCCGCTTCATCATGTGTACGTATCCACGTCGCTTCCGATAAAGTTCAGTTGATAGTGAGCGCTCGTATGTCGTGCTTCTTTTATATTTTCGTATTTTCTTGCGAACCATGTTCATGAAATTATGTTTCGCCAACTTGCCAACATTAAGCTCCTTCTGCATACTTCATCTGTCTTTAACATAGCTCGCACTCAGTTTTCTTGGGTGTTCATAGACTTCGTTATGTGTATATGTGGAGCAGTCATGTACGTGTTTTCATGATAAATATATCTGATAAGTGTTGGAGTTCAACGCCTTAAAACCGCAACATGATCATAGTGGACGCTGTAGTGGAGGGCTTCGGTGATTTAGACCGTCTGGGGTTCCGTAACACGCACCTAAGTATAAGTACATGGGACTCAACTTGATTTCATCGTAAATGCAGCCGTCGTGGCCGGGATGCAATCATGCGACAGGATCAGCAGTCGAGCATCATAACCACTAGACCACCATGGCGGGCATGGAGTTTCGAGACGTTTGTAGCAGCGCAAATCGTTTAGAGAAATGTGCGTGTTCATTACGGTCCCATTCCTCTCTGTGGTTCCATTCTTCACTGGCGAACCAAACTGAGATGATATTCGTGCTATCTGAGTGTCTCCTGTGTTTTTCAAATTTAGTTTTTGTGGCACCATCTGTTCTTTTGTGTCGTAATGGGGAGGTTGTGAAAGCGTGACTCATACTATAATGAAGTAGTTCAAAGCTCGGGCACTTTAGTTGCTGATTATGATTTTCTTCCAAGGCGTCAAGCACAGTCGCACTTTACGCACACGCGCTCATTTATCTTCCACTTTTCCGTCCGACATGGTGGAGCAGAGGCGGAGGTGTTCAGGTGCTGACCCGAAGGACACGGGTTTCATCGCAGTCGCATTTAGGTGAAAGTGAAATGGTGAGAAGTACGTGTATGATGTGATGTCGGTACACGTTAAAAATCCCCAGGTGGTCGAAATTTTCGGAGCCCTTCACTACGGCGTCTCTCATAACCTTCTCATATAGTTTTGGGACGTAAAACTCCAGATATTTTACTGTTATTATTATTTCATCGTCCAGTTTTTTGACACCGAGGAACCGATTTGGACGTATACGACGAGCAAACGGGCTAATGTTTGGTGTGAAGTCGGCGTGACGAACAATGTTACCGAGAGTTCAGTATCTTTCAAACGATCGTCATACGACCGCAAAGGGAGGTAATACACATCAATGCTTACCCCTCCTGTTGGCTTCCACCACCGCGACTCATAGATTCATTATTATTTTTTCGTAGGACATCGGGCATCCTGGAGGGAAAACTTTCGGACAGAAAGAAACACATGGATATTAAGAGTCAAGGTATAGCAAAAACTGACTTGCTTTTGTTTTCTCAAATTTTTAAATTCCGTTTGCGCCTGTATCTCGGCGTTGGTCTGCCTCCGAGCCAAGCCTGCCACCAGGATTTTTTTTCAGGGCATCTATTATTTTTCTCCGGTAAAATACACCCCTTCATACGAATTTCAGGAGGGGGAGCTTGGGCACCCCCATCACATAGTTACGGGCTTGCTACAAGCGTTCCTTCCAGGAAGAGTAACGAATTTTTCACAGACACCCCATCAGCAGTCGCAATAGCCCTGGCCCTGCCAGACGACGGGAGAACAACAATATACAGTGACTCGAGATCGGCAGTCTGGGAGTTCGGTAGGGGCACCATCTCGGAACCAGCCTTTCGGATCCTGCGAAATATGGAGGTGCAACAACACACAATCATCTGGTTCCCAGCTCACACAGGACATATTGAGAACTCTCCATCCAACCTCCACGAGAAGGCCCACGGAGCTGCGCGAGGAGTCATCCAAAGCGTAAATACTGAACGGCGTGAAGACGAGCTTCTGGACAACAAAGATCCTCCAACGACGTAAAATGAGCTTTGCAAGAACTTTTATCTGAGGAGGCGAAAGTATCCGCCACCGCACAGTAAACTGAACAAGTCAGACTACTGCGGGTCTGGGCATATACCAGTCCACACTCTCGCACAAAATATACCCTGAAATTCAGACGTCAAACACTTCCACGCTTTGCTCAGACTTTGCCAGTTTAGATTATATGCGATGGCGGTGCCTTTCGTTACGGGCTAAAAACGTTACACCGTCAAAGTAGGATGCTGCGCTACGCAGTACGGATTTAAGGACGCAGCTACGGGCTATCCAACGAGCCCACGACGTGGCCGACAGGCTAGGCCTATCTGTGCCGACGCGGGAGTGGCCTGCTACGTGCTAGTTCACGCCCCGATGGACCTAAATAAAGTTTTTACATACCATACCACACCCCATTAGCACAAGTTCACACCGTTAAACCTTTCTTAAAATGTTTATCAGAACAATTAATGCGCAATAGGCGTCCTATTCGTAAGCCTGTACTATAGGTCAATAAAATTTGAAACTCACTCAGATTTATCAAGAAATATACTTTGCGCTTGAGGTTCACTTGGACTCAAACTCGGGAAACTTTTCTTCTACGTGACGCACTTGGACTCAGGCTCACTATATTGTTTCTCAACCGGAATCACTCAAGCTCGCGGCCCTATCTGAGTCTGAGAGAGCCAATGTGAATTGAGTGATGAGTGAGTTACCTGAGCTATTGCCGTGTCATACGCTTTTCACCGAACGTAGTGTGAAAGCGAGCCATTAAAATAAAATCACGGCTTATCCACGAAGTGAATGATAATGAATGTGCGACCGTAAATCACCCGTGAAATTGACCACTCAAGCATGTAAATGAGTGCCGGGTGGTGTACAGTGTGTATATTTATTGGTCTTAATTGGTATGTGTTGCTGAGTGGGAAATTTCGTTTTGCCTTTATTGTTACTGCTTTCTCGTGTCAGACCTAAACTGAAGTTGGCAAAGACGAGGTCTGCGCACGTTGTCCTGATGGTTTTTGGTTGTTTAAAATTATAGGACATGTATCGTAGAGCATATGGTGACGCCATTTACTGCACAAGCCAGTCTTTGTCCGTGATCATCATCGTCATCAGCGGGATCATGATCGTCACGGCGTATAGTAGGTACCTCGCATGTGCTGTGCTGTAATGACAGAAAGAGATTGCGTGGTCTGGAACGCGCTTGTTCTTTGTCGTCATAAGCATCATCGTCATCGTCGTCGCCAGTGGCAGCTACGGCGCACAACGCCAACGGACAAGCCTCGACCATAAGCAGGTTCACCCCTAAAAAAGAAGTGTTTTTAGTTCACAGTAGTAGAAATGAATGCAGATAGCAGTTTCAGTATTGAGCATTGACTATTCACGCGGAAGAAACGTACCAATAGAACGTGCACTTTTGCGTGGTATCGTAAACAAATACCACGTCTACGGGGTGGTATTCACTTATTTTTCACCTGCACTTTTTTTAACGGGAAAGTGTTTCTCTGCTAGGTTGGCCAAAGCGCCCACCCAAAAGTCACCCGTCTCACGCAGCCACGTGACCTCACTCAAAAATGGCGTCAGCACCTACCTGCAGGCGCTGCGGCTTAGGACATTGAAATTCCTGCTGTCAAGTCGATTCAAATAAAATCAGTCCTTAATTTTGAACTAGAATTGGAAAGACCCTCGGGCGAAAATTTGTTATAAAACTACTTGAGAGCACCTGAGGGCCCGTGTGCATAACATCACCAGTTCTGAAATCTAGGCTTTCGACAAGTAAACTGAGCCAAACTAAATGATTTCGTGTTGTCGCCTCCTAAGAATATGCTTAGGGCTCCTCCACAAGTTTTGTCAGTGATTACTTTCTCGCCTAGCAGGAACGCACGACCTTCGTTTCTCGCCACTTCACATGCAACTTGGCTGCCATGCAACTGAGTTGAGCCCCTCCATCCCTGACTCTGATTTGGCATGACTTGTACAGGTGTATTTATGTCCTTCACTCAACGAACGTCTAGCTGCATGCATACTTTTCGAGTAGATGAAACGCTTGCTAATAATTTATTGCTTCTAGACTAGCTTCAAGAGCTGTGATTACTTTACCGAAGTGGCCGCTGCTAGGTGTAAAACCCATTTGAGGATTAAACAGGGAGTTGTTAGAGCAGAATTGTGCGTGTGCAATGAGTTGTTGATGAAATACGCAATCACGCACTCTATATCACGGTAAAGATATCGTTATGCAAGTGCACTGCGTTTACCTGCTTTGTACTTACTTTTCAGATGGAGTATACACACTGCATGAGGACATAATTTACATGAACCAAAACGGCAGCTGCGCTGTAATCATGGTAACGACAGCTTTTGGAGGTTGGTGTTCACGGATTTTGACATTCTCAGCGCTTGAGCGTTATCGACAAGGTATTGTGGTGTTCCAGTTGGCTTACGATGTTCACAACTTTTCTCTTCAGGGAAGCAATCAACGTTCGATCTACGGGTGCGGAATTCGTCGATCGCGTGGGGACCTACTGAGAAATGCAAGAAACACTTCAAAAAGCACGAAGCTCAAGGGCAGAATATTTATCAACCGCAGTGCCAGCGCATACTCACCTATAATTAAGTGGCTGGAATAAAGTGGACCCGACTGTGAATAAAATCAATACAAAGGTTGAATAGTGGGTGCTTTGTTTCAAAGATAGTTACCCGGTAACCTGTTCTGAAAGGGACAGGAAAAAAACCGCCAGTCTGTAGAGCAAAGCCGGATTTCTCAGCAAGAAAAGCTTCTTAGTTGCCGAAAAGTTCGTCCTGGTCCTGGGTTAGAACCTGGGACGATCGCCTTTCCAGGGTGGTCGCTCTACCAGTAGAGCGACCTGAACCGTGGACTACATATTGAGCCTCGGTTAAACCTAAGCTCGGACAAATGAGTTGGAGTCACCATACCACCAAAAGATATATACTGTAAGAAGGGGCTGCGTACGTGCAATAACGTCAGAGGAACGATCACCGACTCTATTCTAGATGAGCATTGCATGATTGTGCCTGAAGCGCAGCATATGCACACCAATGTACTTCTTTAACAGTATCGCGGGAGCGCTGAAAACGGGGTATGGCAGCGTCTAATGATTCTCAAAAGGCAGAAAGTTCTGCCGATGATGCTCAAGTGTGCAAACTACCCTGCAATGTGAGCGTCGTCTGCTACGCTGTTTACTTCAGCATACCTGTAGGTAATCTTTAACTAAATATGCAGCGCAGTACAACGGACCACGTTGGAGAAATGGTCAAGGGTATTCACATGTGCGCTGTGCGCAGCACCGCGTCCGCCCAATGTACACACCGAGGAAGTGGTATGCGATACACGACATTCGTGATGCAGTGCTCAATCTGCACACGGAGACGGTGAACAAGAATCCACCCCATAATCAAAAAACGATGCTGCCACAGAAATACGAGATATTGTTAATGAAAATATAAAATCTCCTTGGAATACAGCAAGTTTACGACGCATGCGACTGCATAGGCTGGACCCGTCTCATCGACATTCGCGATTTATGACAACGTTTAGCAACAGGCTGCTATGATATAAAGTACTTACAAATCGCTCAGTTAACTTATATAGCATTGTCTGGTTGGTTCAAGAGTCACTGCGACGTAATAAAACATCATTAGAAAGAAATGCTGGGGCATGTTCAAAGCAACGCTATCTTAAAGACACTCGCAAGTTCCAGTCGGAAATATTTGGAACAGTGACAGCGTTCAATAGGTTGCGACCGCGATGAAGGATGATAGTATAAACGAACCTTCCTGGCCCTCCAGCTGCTGGTGATACGGCATCACAACCGATTGGAGCACCTGCGCTCCACAGTCCTCCGCGAGCTCCATGACAGCACCAACCGGGGTCACCTTGGTGTCTCTCGCACATAAAACCATGTGCGCCGCCGCTTCTATTGGCCTGGCCTTTCCCGCTCTGTACGTCATTATGTCAACGCTTGTGAAATTTGCCAGCGCCGCAAGAAGCCATCGGGACTCTCTGCCCGGTATCTTTAGCCCATCGACATCCCATCGGAGCCCTTCTACCGTGTTGGTTTGGACCTACTCGGTCCCTTCCCAACATCCGTCCCCGGAAACAAGTGGGTTGCAGTTGCTACAGATTACGCGACCCACTACGCAGTTACGCGAGCCATGCCAACAAGCTGCACTACAGGCGTTGCTGTCTTTCTACAACACGATCTCATTTTAGTGCACGGAACCCCTCGTCACTGCTGACAGACCGAGATGGTACGTTCCTTTCGAAAGTGGTTGACGATATCCTGCGTTCCTGCTCTACCCAACATAAGCTCACGACATCGTACCACCCCCACACAGACGGGCTTACAGAACGTTTAAACCACACCCTGATGGACATGCTGTCGAAATACATCTCGGCCGACCATCGTGATTGGGACCTTGCACTACCCTACGTGACGTTCGCGTACAATTACTCCCGGCATGACACTGCTGGGTACTCGCCATTTTACCTTCTGTTTGGACGCAAACCAACATTGCCTTTGGATACCTTCCTGCCAGCCGCTGCGCAGTCTACTTCTGAATATGCACGCAACGCTATTGCCTGAGCTGACTCTGCACGTCAGCTTGCCCGCAGCAGATTAACGGCGTCCGAAGACTCGCAGAAGCATCGTTACGACGAGCGTCATCACGACGAACACTTTCCGACAGGTTCCCTCGTTCTTCTTTGGTCCCCCACACGACATGCAGGCCTTTCAGAGAAGCTTCTCTCTCGTTTCACGGGCCCATACCACGATCTCAGACAAGGGATTGATTTGTGGGGTTTAACGTCCCAAAACCACGATATGATTATGAGAAGGCAAGACAAGATCTCAGACAAGGGATTGAAACTACATATGAAATTGTTCTTGATGATTCATCAACCTCTTCTGCTCGGCTGTCCCGAGACGTCGTCCACGTATCAAGGCTCAAGCGTTATCACACTGCTACTGCTGTGGCCCCATAAGCTAGCCGGGTGGGCGCTTTTGCCGCCGGGGGTTGCGTTACGTGGTTTCAGCTCACTGTAGCAAGGCATAGTGGGACATATCCAAAAAGGTCGCCTCCGACCGAGAGTGAAGAAGTTGACGTTGTTGGTGAGCTGTGTTGTGGCTGCGGACTGTCTATTGTTATTTCCACGTAACACTATTATTCATGAGCCCCGCACTACAGCAGGCCTCATAAATGGCTCGTAAATCCAATAACATATATACATTTAAAGTGAGCACTCGTGATACAGAATGCAGTACGCTCACAGTTAAACAATTTTGTGTAAGCAGCAAGGAACAAATGTAACAATTACTGAACATGCTGAGAGGTCCAACCAATATAGCACTTCACGATCAGGATCGCTACGATAGTATCTCTGTGGTTGTGTTTATTTTTCGCTTAGCGGTGTCTGAATTAACAAAAAGAGGCGCTGGGTGAACACGGATGTAATTTGCGTGGGAGCATAATGCTGCATAAACGTTGAAGCGTGCAACAGTAGTCAGAAGGAGCTCTCAGCGCAGTTACGAGGCTGAAAAGTTCACTTACATAATTTAAATTTGCATGTAGCATAAATAGAGCGTTTTTCAAACCTAGAAAAAGTGCTCCCCTAAACTAGAGGCGCCTAACCTTTATGAGAAGGTATCTAGAAGCACTCAAATTATTATTAGCGCTTCAGAATGCACGTTTTGATGCTGTGTGGCAAATGATTATGAAGATGGGGGTTCTGAGGTGAGAACAGGTGACCGTTTTTAAATGGTGAAATTATGAAGTATAAATGTATGTGAGAAATATCACTTTCACGAGACGCCTACTCACACACAGCTATAAAGGTGCGTTTACGCTAGAAAGACAATACAGCAATTTTGGTATGAGGGCTGTCTTAAGGAGTATCTTTTTTCTTGTCGTCGGCCAATGTACACTGCAAAGACACGAGCAGTCCGCCGGTGGTCGTTCGAAAGCCTCGCCCGCGGCTTGTCGTGCTGACAGTCTTTCGTTGGCCAATTCTGTAGTCACACTGAGGGCACACGCAGCGACACCGACTAAACTTGCACACATGCACCTCATTTTCAGCCATGGTCCCCGCTGTGCCATTGTTACTCTTCAGCTCTTAGGCGCAGCCCCCGCCATAATCCATGGTAACGAGGGACGGGGTTGGGAATGCACAATAGGGTAACGAAGAAAAGACTTCCACTGAAAGCTCGAGCTGCCTATTCAGGCGCCACGGAAGCCTCGAAGAGGGCATTGTTAACTCATGCAAGATTGCCCCCTTCGTGGTCGTTTGAAGTAAGGACACGGGGCAAACTTTCGCTCAGCCGCCGATCGTCCGAAGACACGCCAACGATAGGTCTGCGGATGGGTTTTGCTGGGGTTTTTGGTCACTCATCATGTTACACTACAATGAAATGCTGTCTTTTGAGGCGTCGTCGGCCTAGCGTGACGACCATGGGGTCTGGTGACTTCGTAGGCGGGCGACTGTTCGGGATGGTTTGCCTCTGCCTAGTGTTTTCATCGGGGTCGTGTAAGTGTCGTGTCGCTCTAGTGTAAACGTGCATTAAGCCATACTCATTGATCAGATACGAGATTGTCGTGCTATGATTTAAGTTTGAACATCTTTGCACGCTATTAACACCAAAGGTTAGGTTTTAGCACGAAAGTGTTTTATGCTGGGGTCCAGAAAGACATCACTGACGTATTTCTGTCATGGAAATGATGTCAAAAAATTGCAGACGATGAGACGGAAAGGAAAAAAAAATTGGCCCCGTATTTGCACGTTCCTACAAATGTCGTCGAAAAATGAGTCTTGCGGGTGGAGAGAGTGAACAAGACATTTATTTGATGTTCTGTGCAAGATAATCGGTGAGTGGTATTCTGAAGGCGCTGCGTTAGAGTGCCTCGAGCGTGCAGTGGAGGCGAACGAGCGCATCAAGTCACGCCACACGTCAGACATGAGCGTCATCTGGCAGTTTTCTTGGAAAACGAAGCGCGTGACTCTGAGACGGGTGTGCGCGCCTGTCTCAGAGGTGATAGGGTGTAGAACGCAAGGCGACGGGTAGGTGCCACCACCGTCTTGTCTTAGCAAAGCGTTGGAAACACTCCCCGTTCCGTGCAAGCGTTGCATGGTCAGCGCAGCGTGATAAGCGCTATGGTCCTTAAAATTGCTTATGTATGCCTTTTCTTGTAAAAGACGCACATGCAGAATATATACGTGTTGTTATGGTGCCCCAGGCATGCGCGATAATTGCTTTTTAATTGACAATCGCACAAGTATGAACACTAAATCTTGAGTATCATTGGTGGGCGCTGCGGATGGGGCCGGCCGTTTTAAGTACCCGATGCCATTAAGAGCGGACAAACAGACAAATGTACAGACAGACAGACAGACAGACAGACAGACAGACAGACAGACAGACAGACAGACAGACAGACAGACAGACAGACAGACAGACAGACAGACAGACCGACCGACCGACCGACCGACCGACCGACCGACCGACAGACAGACAGACAGACAGACAGACAGACAGACAGACAGACAGACTAAAATTTTTGCATCGACGGTCACCAAAAAAGAATATTGCCTTTAAAAAAAGCTTACATATACGGGAGTAAAGTCCTCGACCTGTCCGTCCGTAACAACAGATGAT